CAAAACCCCTTTCTTATTTTTCCTTTTCCTGGTGGTCTGATATCAAGCCCATGGATTCTGAAATACTTTATAAATGTAAAAACATTTTAATTAAGAAGGATAAAAATTCAGTTATTATGATTAATATTTTACCTATTCAATACGAAGGAAAGACATAAACAATGGAAGAACAATATAGATTGTAAAACAAAATTTCTGTTTTGCACTTTGATAGAATTTGAAGTAAGTTTCATCAGTCATAGAATAAAAAGGACATTAAATCTACAGAGTGAATCAAAAACTAAAATCTGAGATCATTCTTGACAAAGGTATCATAATTACGTTTTTACAAGTGAAAGCAAGGTGAATGCACAAAAAAAAAGAAACAGTAAAAACACCGACAAATTTTAAGCAAGATCCTAAGATATTTAATGGTACATAGTTTTAAGTAGTTATTAGCACTGTCAAAATGATCGAACCTTGTATGGTACAGTCATCTTATCGTTCAAAAACTATCGTACATATAATTATTCTTACAAAAATATGTCAATATATCTTTTCACAAAAGTATTTCCTACGCAACTCAATAATGAGTATCTACGTAAGTTGTAAGTAGAAATAGCAACTAACATTCACGATATTGGCATTGGTCTTATGACTTTTTCGTCGACACAAAATCAGTTATTGCCAATAACTTTTTACTATTAAACTTCTATGATTTCGAGGAAATGTGTTTAGGTCAGAGCCCCACATGATCCACACAAAATTTGAAATGAATAGTTAATGACTCTTAACAACTTTATTTTTATAAAATAATTCACTCTGACGTGTGTTTCCATTCTAAAATCGCCATTACTCTTTATCGTACCGCACCATTTCGCCTTGCGTAAAAAGTATCGAACCCTCTATACGTCCGACCAGATGAATTCTGTGTTGTTGAAATAAATCGTAAGATGAAAGCCTATATAGTGGCATAGCCTAGGTCACAAATAAAACGGGCACCGCCCGATGTAACGATTTTAAAAGCATGTCCGATTTTGACTACCTCGCGAACGCCGGGCGATTTTAAATTTGATACCTTGCGTGGTAATGAAACGGTCGCCTGGCGATTTTTTTCGGAATTGATTTTACATAAAGCATACATAGGATCGGCCTCCTCCTACCGCCACCTCTGCGCTGACCATTGTCATATACATTTCTGTAATGCTGCTGCATTAACTTTGCCTTAAGAATAATCCGCGTAGATGTTCTTGCACAAATTCACAAATGCATTTATAATGCAATGACAACAAACTCAAGACGCAATTACATCAAACTCAAGCCGCCCGGCTGCCAGACAGCAAAACGATGACAGCCCGGTGCCTGAGGTACCTGGTGATAACCGTTTGCCAACTTGTGTCTATTCGGGCGCCGGGCTGAACCCGGGCGATGACCGCCCGATTGCCTTTAAATCGTACGGTGTTTTTTTTTTTTTTTTTTTGTTGTTTTTTTTTATTAAAACACGATCCAAACAACATCGCCTGATGATTTTTTTAAATCACTGACCCCAAAAAGTGTCGTCCGGACGTCGTTAACTTTTAAGTTTGTACCCGAGCAAAAATTGCTGCCGCCGCCGAACGAGCGCCGGCCGATATTGCGATTTTTTTGGAGAAACAGACGCCACCCGGCGGTCGTTTTTTATTTGTGACTGAGGCATGTAGATAATATGTAGGTAATCATAGTAAATACTTTTGAGCAAAGCTATACATATGCGTTCTTGTCCAAATGTTTATAATCTATTGTATTGTTTGAATTAAAGAATGAGTATTAAGAGTCTAAACATATCTTATTTTGTTAATTTATAAGCATGTATCATTGTACACTTGTGGTGTTCGGCGTTTTCTCGTGCTCGGCATATACTTGTGTTACTTGGCGTTTTCCCATTCTCGGCGTTACATTTAGTAGCAAACCAAATCTGAACCTGTATCGAATTTTTTTTAACATCATGTATCCAAAATGAGCTAAAATTAATTTTTGTTTCGTTCGTTTCGTTTTGCCACATTTATGTTATGAAATAAAGTTATTTACTGACACTATCTATAAGTATATCTGTTGTTATACAAATATTGACTTTAGGAAAATTATCAAATCATTGAATGCAAGCAAAAATAAACATACTCTAAGAACAATGTCCCTTTCCGGTCCCTTCCTTTATATGAGAAAGCGAAATTTATGTAAAAAATTGGAAAAGAAATCGAGAAAATATTGGATATGTTAATGTTTTGAAAGTGGCGAAATACAAACAATTCAAGAAGGGAGAATACTCACTCGGATTAATTTAGTAGTCTTGTTTCTAGATTACCGCCCTTAGACAACGTGAACTACTCTATTCATTCCCCTTCAACGTATAGAAGGTTAAATTGTTTGACCTCACGTCTTTCAACGCGTTACTATGTAATTTAATTATAGCTTCTGTATTTACTTTTTAGATGAATTTAATTAAAATCTACCTTGAAGAAATTTTTCACCATGGTGTCAAGGCACGACTCAACAACTGTAATGGCAATATCTTTTGTCGCTCCCGGGTCACAGGGTCAACATCGCCCTTTTCTGATGTAACCCATATATAGAATTTAAATTAATCTTTATTCTCACCAAATTTCTGGCATGAGGTTGTGAGCGAACTCTTTAAAATGCATTAATACATCCTTGATAGGTCTTTAATTTTGTATAAAGTCTTGTTTACATTAGAACGTTATCACTGGGGCTATTTGACCGGCGCAGATAAAACGTTTCTTTATCAAACCAAATTCAAATTAGTTCACTATTGAAATCTTGAAAATTTCCGGTATCAGTGTGTGTGATACAGATTTTAGACGTGTTACATGTTTTAGATATACAGTTTGTTACAAAGTATTCAAAATTTTATGCGAAAATTTCAAATTAAGAAACATTTCGTTATAAGCTTCTTAAAAAAAGCAATTCAACAAAAACAATATAGATAATCCGATACATGATGCACATTACGATAATTTCAATTTCGTTAATAAAAGGCAGATTACTTCGCCTGATTTAAACACTGCACATACTTTCTTCTATCACAGATGTTTCAGATTACATAATTAGTCTCAAATTTCCGATTTTCTTTAAAGGCAAAAGCGTTCATTAAAAGACGTAAATTCAAATCACTTTCCTGATTACATTGTTAGAAAGATTTCATAATTTGATAAGAATACGCAGATGGCATTCAAATTCCTGTATTATAACGAATATTTAATTGTTTACCTAAAACCTCCTACAGCTGTTTTTATTCTTTACTGATATAGCGGTTTCTTGCACGTATTTCACGTGCACTAATTCTACCATGAGTTTCCCTAGAGTTCAGTTCAGCAGACTGCGCTTATAGCCTCTTGTATAGATGAGAGTACTTGAAGTGTATAAGTGGAGCCATACCGTGCTCGTCACGTGCAGCTACAGGCGGAACCATATTCCCATCATTGAAATCTGGGTTCCTATGGTGCACCACAACAATTATTATTTTAGAATAAATTGGATGGCTATGTAATTCTCAATAATAATTTTGTGTGTTTTTTAATATTACAGAGTCGTGTATAATTTTGATTATTTTCAAAGAGTTTGAGTCATACCAGCAAAATGACATAATTTATTTCCGGTACCTTAGGATTACGTGTATAGCATGGGTTTTTCTCATTTTCAGTTGTTGTTTTTCTATATATAAAACGGGTTCTTAAAATGATTATAAGAATAATATAAGAAATAATAAGGATAATCACTTTTAAAATATTTTTGTAGACTTCGATAATTACTGTTTTGATCGTGTATTGACATGCTAGTATGACTAAACTCTTGTTCAAGTATTGTCATATTTTTCTTCAGCCACCATCAATTTCTTGATGATCTGTGGACCTCACATCGCAGACGTCAGTGTACGAACGTGATATGTAAATGATTACAGACATTTAAATATAAATATTGTTTCAGATAGATTATGGTAGGAGTTGTTGTCAGAATTTCCTGTCGCACTGTTTAGGTCAACATGTCACTTGCCTGTAGCTTCTTCCTAATATTCAACAAATTTACTTGTCAAAACAATGCACGAACTGTGAGATATGAACGCCAGCGTTCCTACAAATCATTTCCCTATTCTACGCACTTCCCGAAGTCTTCTCGGTGTTTCGTTGTAGTCATTTCCGTTTTCAAAAATGACGATAAATAATGTATTTTAAATAGACGAAATTTTTAACATTTAAAAGAAGTATATAACAACCAAAAGACACGTGACGTAATTCAAGATTAACTGAATATCAATCTTCAAAGGCACCCCGTCAAAATTGTTCATATTATCACTTATTATCGCTCAGAGATGACATGACAAAGACAAATTTTATAATTCAATGACATTTTGAAAAACACAAAGGATAATTCCTAATATTTTAGACATCGCCTTCATACAGGCTTCGAATACCACTCCGATTCCGGTATTTGAGAAACATGCTAGAATTTCAACATTTTGATGATAGTCACCATGTATCTCATTTTCTACTCTCAGTATTATTTTCAAATGATAAATACAGACAGAAAAACTTCTGCATTAACTATTCTTAACAAAAACTGTGAAAGAACCATGTGTTTTATTAATCATGTTTGCCCAATAAACTGGAAGTAGATTATTTCTTCACCCGAAAATATCTGTACGCATATGGAAAATCAGTTGACTGTACAAAATAGTTATATGATATATGAACGTTATCAATATGAAACTTGACCCTTTTTTTACAAAAGTTACCCTCGTATATTTTGTTTCTCCTATATTTTCTTTAATGTTTTCAACATGACAAGTAAATAATATAAGAAGGCGGAGCTATTTTCTGATGTTTACAGTATGAGTTACAGGGCATTACAATGATTGGCATATTCATATGTCATAAAACCTAACATCAAAGGAAAATTGATACCGCCTCTTGAGTTAGCGGATTGTTACAAATGCGCATAGGTTTTTCGAAAAGTAGTCCGCTACAACTTTGTTAATTAAATATGAAATACAATGCAGTGTTTTAAGTTGATATAGCTCGTATTGAGAAAATAATATTGGAAAATTTATCTCTACCCGTTATTTATCGGTAGCATGCTTTTAACCGCTCAGAAAACAGAACGCGGAGTAATAACCTCACGTCAAGGTGGTCTCGTTTGATGTTCGTTCATCACATTTCATTCTGTTGTCAGTTGATTTTGTTATGTAGGACAGTACACAAGAAAAGTGCATACAAGGGAGATATACATACAAATGTCGCGCTTTTAACGATGACAACCGTGGATCTTAATCAGCCTACATCGAAATAATTTCACACGATGTAAGATAATACGAAAATGTAAACAACACTTAACGCTGATATGTAACTTTTGTGTCGTCTGCTAGCAGTATTAAAATATCAACTTTTCGGATGGAGTAGTATAATAAACATTATAAAAATGTGGTGGATTACAGTGATTTTGATTCTTATTATGCGATCACATTATGGTGATTCCTTCACACCCTTGGACCACTACCATTACAACAGGTGTACTCCGATCACCATTCCGCTATGCCTTAATATGAGATACAACATGACCCGGATGCCGAACTTAGTTGGACACACAAACCAGAAGGACGCAGCTATGCAGGTTCACGAATTTATACCATTAGTTCAAGTCGGCTGCTCAAGATATTTAAAATTCTTCCTGTGCTCACTTTACGCGCCTATGTGTACTGACATGCAGCAGACGGGTGACGAGCGCGAGACCATGGTGGTCCCCGCTTGTCGGTCCATGTGTTTAGAAGTAAAGAGCAAATGTGAACCCGTATTAAACAGATTAAAATTCAAATGGCCACCAGCATTGGACTGTGGTCAGTTACCACAGAAAAGTGATCCAAAGAAAGGGGTGTTGTGTATGGAGGCCCCAACTGATACAGAAGATACCGAAGACCTTGGGACAATTGGACACGAAAGCAAGATAAACGACGAGTGGTTGAAATATTTTGAACAACTTCGAGATAACACTAAATATGACCCGATTAATAACAAACCACACAAACCTAATAACAAGAACAGAGCTGATGCGTATGTCCCGTCGCCTGTTATCTGCCCTGACAGGTACGTGTATGTCGATAAGATACAAAAAAGAAACAATTCATGTGCGCCCAGATGTAAAGTGGACGTGTATTTTAGACAAGAAGACAAACATTTTGCCGAGATTTGGACAATAGTTTGGGCTTCGATTTGTTGTCTATCTACAACATGTACTGCTCTCACGTTTCTTATAGACACACAACGCTTTAAATACCCCGAGCGTCCTATTATATTTTTATCAATGTGCTACGCGATTTATTCAATGGCTTACGTGATCCGTGCGGTTACAGGTCCCGAAGATATCTCATGCGATCAACGGAGAGACGGATCGGAATTCTTAATACAAGAAGGTCTAGAGAGCACCTGGTGTATTATTGTGTTCCTTATATTATACTTTTTTGGAATGGCAGGTTCACTATGGTGGGTCATTTTAACAATTACCTGGTTCTTGGCAGCAGCCAGGAAATGGGGCCAAGAGGCAATTGAAGTTCTAAGTAGTTACTTTCATTTAGCGGCATGGGCTATTCCTGCTGTTAAAACTATAATAATATTGATAATGAGAAGAGTAGATGGGGACGAACTGACCGGTCTTTGCTATGTTGGTAACCAAGACAGTATGGCCCTAACTGGCTTTGTGCTTGTACCATTAATTATATATTTATTGATAGGAACATTTTTCCTGTTATCTGGTTTTGTTGCTTTATTTAGAATTAGAAACAATTTAAGACATGAAGGTACAAACATTCGAAAACTAGAGAAATTAATGGCAAAAATTGGTATATTTTCGGTGTTATATACCGTACCATCAACATGTGTTATTGGATGTTTATTTTATGAAAAATTGAACATGGAAACATGGCGACATGTTGCCAGCAATTTAAACTGTAGACTTACTGAAAGTGGTATGAAAGATTGTCATTTAGACCGCTCTATTCCGTCAGTAGAAGTTTTTATGTTAAAATATTTCATGTGGCTAGTGGTGGGAATTACCAGTGGGATGTGGATATGGAGTTATAAAACTATAGCCTCGTGGCAAAAATTCTGTACCAACAGATTTACTCGACGGAAGTCAAATCTGGGGGTACATGGACAAGTCGGTTACCATCAAGCCCCCGTTGTGGAGGGCAACCGAGGACATAAGCACGTGCCAAAGAACACATCCTCTATAACGAGCGGAGGATCACGGATTTAATTTTTTGTTGTTTCGTGTAAAACTTTTTATGTGTGTTAATGTTAATGCGAATTCATCATATTTGAGAAAATCACTAATCATTCATTTGCATATGCGTCACAAATCACCGAACATAACGTATTTGTGTCACAAATTATCGGACGCAAATGCGTGTGTCATAAAACACAAACACGTGTGTTAAATTCATGGGACATAAACGCATGTGATCCGTTGTATTAGTAGGTTCTAAACCATCACTCATTTTGTGCTTTTATATTTTGTGTTTTTATGAATTTAGAATTCAATGAGATTAATGTAAATTTGAAACAATGTTTGTTACTATGGTAATTAAAGTTTTGAAAATGTCACTGCGAGATAATTGAGAAACTGTTATGAGAATTGCTAAAATTAAAATATCAAATGTTACAAGTTGCATATTTTATTGTCTCTCTTATAAGAAAAAGGAAATTCTTTTGCTCAAATATTTTTTGTAGAAATCATTTGTTTCAATATCTTAAATAACCCACAACATTGGTCATTAGCCAAAGTAGCGCTCGTGAGTAAAGTGAATAAACGGCATTTGTTTTCCGTAATTTTAACTTTATATAATTGTCGGAAATTGACGCATGTTGGTTTAAATTAATCACATTTAAATAACATCAAAGTGAATTTGAAACATAAAATGTCTTTTTTTACTATCATAAACAAACAAGAGACACTGCTTTTTTACACCATATTTTACTGACTGAAAGATTATATCTAGGGTAAGTTTCAGTTTTGTTTTTTTACAAACAAATGATAAGATTATCTGTACGTAACATTAGAAATACAGCAATATTATATTTCGGTTTTATGTAGGATTTGAAAAAGCCTATCTAAAGATAACATTGTGGAATGGAAATATTCATAATCGATTCGCGGCTATTTATTGTTGAATCAGCGATTTATATAATTCGGATATTCGGAGTTGTGACTGTAGGCATACTGGGATTTTAATGATTTAAGGAACCTTATAAACTAAACTGATTAGAGTTGTAATCTGAATGATAGAAAGATAAGTCTTGAGTAAAGACACTCATTCTTTTTATCTCTGATATACTCAGTTTATAACAGTATTTTTTTCTACTACAGCTTTATAGTGCTGTTTAAAGACGTTGAAGTTAAAGACATTTATCTTAAAAAAATAAAAGTAATATATTTGTAAAATTAAGCAGGCATTTTATACTTCTTTGTGGTAACTTGATCCTTCATTTCGGAAAAATTGAAATATTTAAAAAAATGTAAATGACAAGGGAAAAACGGTATCTAAAAAAACTTTCTAGAATACATGCAACAGTTACCTTAATGAACTTAACACGTTTATATTGTCAATTAAATGTCAGGTTTTGCATTTTAATTGATTGAGATTTATTATGTGAAACAAACTCTTCCGAGTTATTTAAAATTCTTTATAAAGATTATTTAGCAGGCATGTTTTTTTGATAATGTCTTAAAACTAAAGCCATCCATTTCCATTAAAGTTTTAAATTGCTTTTTGTATGCATATAATTGCTAATGAGATGGAGGAAGCTCTTTTTGATTTAATACGGCGAAATGAATTAGTCCATATTTGCATTTCTGCTCAATAAAATGGGAGCGTTCGCCAAGTTATTTAACTGTTAAAAGTAAACCTGGACTTGTGTATTTGACCGTTTATTATCGCAATTTCAATACAGTGGGACAGAAATTTTACATAATAACATTTGATTCAATAAAGATTCGCTGTAATTTAATTTACGAAATGGTGAATTTGCCCTACGCATATAATTGATGTCAAGATATAATAGGTTATTTTAAAAACTCTGTATTCATAAACACTGTAAGCGATAAAGCGCTCTACAATCTAGGCACTATTGATCCACCGAAGCTATTCAATTAACTTATTACTATTTAGGAAATAAATCACTTTTTTTTTCGGACTGCTGGTATAACACACGTGCGGAGCATAACATTTTCCGATCATTCAGTTTTAAGCAGATATAAATTCTCATATGCAACTTATTCGAGTCACTGAACCGGTGTATATAAAACCGTTCATTAATTTTAAAGGATTCACCCCGAATAACTACTTAACTGATTGCATTACTAGATATCACAAATGCACAAAAATCATTACTTCTCTAACATTACATTTTGTCATGTTTTAAAACTCATTTATACTTGAAAAAATATTTACATTTTTTGTATAGGCAGTTTCAATACACCCATATAAATCTCCTAATGTATAATTTGTCAGCGGGTTTATAAACAAGAAATTCCGATAAAGTTTAGAATAAAAGGAAACTTACAAGTAGAATTAACGGTTGTAACAGCTTGGTAAAAGATTTTTCCATAAAACAACATCACAAAGCACTGGTGTTTATAATCGTGTTCTGTTTTTTTTATCGAGAAAAGAAATTCGCCTATAAAATGCAGCTATTCTATCTGAATGAAACTATAAAGAAGTAGTTTATTATCATTAACTTGACAAGTTCAAACTCTATTGTCAATTTACAGCACGTAGCAAGGTTTTGTTAATATATCTTAGAAGACGGTATTAAACTTTAACTTAAATCGTGTACCATTTATTAAAATCACATAACGAGAGATGGTAAAATTCTGAATTAATTGCCACGCAGGTGCGTCCAAGAGGAAGTTTATACATTTTTTGAATGTATAGCTTTAAAATCCTTTTTTTTTTGAATACTGTAGAAATGAAGTGGATTAGTGCCGGAAAAAGGCTCTCAAATATGGCATGTATGTGTTGACGAAATACAACAACACTTGTTAGCATTCACTTTAAACTGGCTTAATTATAAACGAAAGTGCAGTCATTAGTTGAATTATATCACATAGGAGTGAGTAGTTACGGCGCTAATTACAATGCTGACTAACATATTAATTTCAAAGTACTAACTAGGTTTTAAGAAGTAAAATTGCTAGTTTTGTAATTATGTCGATAGCACTCTAGTAATAATGTTGTCTTCATGAGAATCAAAAATATATATAATGCGAAAGTAATTTGAGTTTTGCATGACAACTTTACGTTATATCAATTGACCAATCAGATCGTTTTTGACAAATACATTATTTTAATTCTAATGTTTTGTATCTGAACGTCCATTTTATAAAATATTCTAAAAAATTAGTGAAGGGATACTAAAAAACGTGATGTTTTCTGCCTAATATTTTATTCCAAGTATAATTCTGTGTTTTCTTAACCTAACAGTTTAACCAGTTTATATTTCTTAGTTAAGACAAAGTATTTTCAATACATGTTTAATGTATGGTAGAGTTTTACTCAGTCAGATGTTTCTAAAGTTATATTCTACCTCGCTGCATTTCCTAAGAAATATACATATTTTCTAGTATGATATTCAGAAGTGTATCACAAAAACATCTTAAAATCCAATTGATTGATTAATTGATTGATATTCAATAATATTTTGTATAAAATTCTTAAGACTTATTGTGAAGAAGGGAAGATTGGTGTTTATTTCAAAAGTAAACAAATTCACGTTGTTTAACCATGAGTAAATACATACAGTCTAAGTAACCATGAGTAAACAAGTATTTCAACGGAGAAGTGCATTTTATTATATTATTAATCACGAATGTATCGACAAGCTTCTGACATTAAAGAAATAGAGCGGCAACTAGAGAAATGATGCGTAAAGAAAAAGGAAATTGAAAATTGTTTCGACAATTGATCACTTTTATTGATTTATCAGTTCAACATGATTCTGTTATTTGACTAGTTTGATTAATGGATAGTTTAAATGAAAAAAAAAAATTGATATTATGAAGCATATTTTTAGAAAAAAGGGGGTTTTTAAGATTTACCATTTAAATGACTTTATTTATCTGCTATATATGTACATGATTTGCATGTTTGTTTATATTTAGAATGATATATGCCGTTGTTTATACTTTAGCATTACGAGAAGAAAACCATGGACTTCATGTAAAATTCAATTCCTTATCTATATTTAATGATTTAAAATGTTATAATGTAATGAACATATTCCTGTTGTAAAGGTATTTCACACATGGTTATTATCAATAGTTACTAAGTCATTTTACAATACATGTTTGCATATAATATAGAACAAGTTTATTCTGAAACTCACGGTTCTCGTGCACAACCATTCTGGCAACGTGATAATATTTTTGCTAATCAATTTCAGTGATATGAGATTTATTAGGGTTAATGGTTTTATAACGAGCATTCCGCACGGGAGCTTGGGGTGACATGTATACATGGACGACAATAAACACAGAATACACGTGCAAACGAACAACGCTACTCCAACGACTCTAAGCAAAAAAATAACATAATCTGCTAATATTTTATGAAAAATAATTGTTTTTGCTATAGCTAGTAAAATATTGGTCATATTTAGGGCAATCGTCATTCCTTTAGAAGTATTAAACATTTTTCCTGTCCTTATTCATTCGTGATATCCTTACATTTAAGCCATACAGTGCACTTCCGACTGTATAAGTGTTTTGTCCAGTTCAATACGAACACTTAAAGAGATCAAGGGACTATTATATTAAGTTAATTGTTTAAGATAAAGTCATCTCTATTACATTACAAGAAGATACAGAATATACATGGTAAATATTTACGGTAACATTTGCTCGTGCAATTTTCAATCACATTGAATTTGCCGAGCAGTATGTTTAATAAAAAATTCAGGAAAATACAAGGAATAACGCCTTTAACAAAAACTTGTTATATTCAACGCAAATGTCAGGTTTCTAGAGATAAATACATACATTAATATACATATGATAATTCTACATAGTATACATATCAAACGTATTAACGAGTATGATTTACATAACTTTTTATTATGATGCTACTTAAGAAATCGTTAGTTTCTTATATATCATAATAGAAATAAATAAAACGGGCGTAATAAATTACAATAATTATAACAATAACCGTAATGATGATGATGGTGATGATGACCACGAAAAACGTAATGATAACGATGACGATGATGATGATAATTATGACGATAATGATGAAAATGTTTATTACCATGGATGATGATAATAATAATGGAGATGATGTTGACGAGGATAAGGATGAGGATTTTAATGATGAAAATGATGATGATGATGAACTGTATTAATGTGAAATAAGTTGAAGACATGTAACAAAGATCTCTTAACTGTTACATGTTGATAGAAACATTTCCCATGCTTTGGAAACAATGGAATAAAAAAATCTTACGCACCGAGAAGGGATTGGTTAAGGGAAATGAAACATGTAGCCTTGATGTTATACTCGTCGAAATTTGATCGAGCATATAATATGTTTTACATGCAGGAATCTAACGACAAGCTGTTGTACAGTCGACATATAACATAACTCTTTACTCATTGTACATGCATGGATA